AGAGGTCAACGCTCTCATCGGTGAAAATTCAGACGAAGCAGATGCAATAATCTATACAGACGGATCCGTTATACGCCAAAGAAGAAGCGCATGGGCATTTACAGCACGCTCAGCGGGCAGAACAGTCAAAGAAGCCAACGGCGCCTTCTCCATGACAACCAGCAGCATGACGATGGAGGTGATGGCAGTGACACAAGCGTTTGCCTGGCTTGAAACACAAAGATACACCCGCGTGTGTATACTCAGTGATTCAATGAGTATGATCCGGAGGGTTCAGGCAGGTTCAGTGCGAAGACAATGGCTTGAATCATTACAGAAGTCCACTGTTCGTGGAGTCACCTTTATTTTTGTTCCGGGATACGCAGGCGTCAATGGAAATGAAAGAGCTGACAGATTGGCTGGATCCGCTATCACTACCGACGGTCAGCCTATGGATCATGCTGATATTATCAATGCCCTCAGAGAAATGGGAAGAATAGAGGACTTTGGTGGCAGTGAATCCACATCACTCGCCAGAATGGCAGACTTGGGAATTAAGATCGGCACAGAAAAAAACGAGACGCACACCAGCTACGCCAGAAGACTTGTTAATCAACATAGAACTGGTACTATTAGCCATCGGACGTTGGGGTTCATACTGAGGGGAGGAACTGAGCACCTATGGACATGTCCGGAGTGCAATGAGGATAACCCAACTAACTAACTAACTAACTAACTAACTAACTAACTAACTAACTAACTAACTAACTAACTAATCATACCATACAAAGCATACATGGAAAGAGAAAAAGGACGTAGAGCACGAGGTAGACCAAGAACAAAATGGAAGGATAACTTTAGAGAAACTCTACAAGAGCACGATGTGCCTATGGTCGAGGCGGCCAGAAGAGCTAGAGACAGAACCGTATATCTCCCTCGACACCCACAGCGGTAAAAGAGGAAGTGAAGAAGAAGAAGAAGAAGAAGAAGAAGAAGAAGACTGAGATATCATTTTCGCCTTGTTGGTCAGAACTGTTAAAATGGAGCGAGACTAATGGAGGGAAGAATATATAGCAGATCATCTGCGAGAGAGTTAAAAGACACATTTTGAGATCATGTGTGCTTTCCCGTGTCAACGTATGGATGTCAGTCATGCACTCTTATTCTTTTATTATATATTAAAACAAAAATCTGAGCTTTTGAAATAAAACGCTACAGAAAAGTTCTTAATTAAAATACCACGAACTAAAAAGTAGGAACCCCCCCCCCCCCCCCCCATATTGCAATCGCGATTATTAGTTCCCCAACTGAATCCTGATCTGAATATTTATGAATTCTGGCAGTCCCGGGGGGCAGATTTTCTCAACGTGAAGCAAGTCTTTGAAATGCATCCTCGAATCGACAGATCAAAAGTTAAAAAAAAAATTATTTTATTTTTGCTTTCGCTTTTTATGCCGCCTCCTTTAGGGTGCCGCCGGATACGACGGCCTCTCTGTAACATAGCACGGCACGACCCTGTATTTTAGTAAAGTAAAGGACCATTTTCACGCTTTTCAGGCGTATTGGGTATATAGGGCTTGCCCTATATTTTATTTTGTTAATTCTCATGATGGCCTGGAGAGAACGATGATGGAAGGTATAATTTCCGTAAAACGATGCAGAGGCAGACCTGCAAGATAATGGATACCGAAGATGAATTACGTTTGAAAGCAGAACTGGCTTGAGAAAGAGACACTTTCACGCATGCCGTGACGAGAGCGACGTTCTGTAAAGAGCTGCTGATTAATAATGAGGAGATTTACTAAGCAATTTTGTTTAGACCAAAGCCTTTGTCAACGACTAAAAAACACAAGCCAGTTGCAATATTTTTTTTGTTTTGTTGATGACGACTTTTGATGACGACTGTTGATGCTGTGCGATGTCCGATTACTTACTGAGTTAGGAAAATGCATTAGATTTTGTATTGCATATAAATATTGAAATTTTTCTTCAGAAATGACACCTCACTTTATGTGTGTAATTTCTCTGTACAAACAACACCTTACCGTTTTTTACTTTTTTTTTTTTGCCCGGAAAGGGGGAGGTTTGGGGGAGGGGGAGGGGGAAGTAGGGCGGATGTTAGAATGTAAAGATAGAGACACGGAAAGTTCAAAGCTTCGGTGTTTGTGTGCCTCGATAAACAAAAAACATCTATACTCATGGCGTCTGCACACACAGACACACCCAACACCTTTATGTATGGTTAAGATGTTAAGATTATGTATATTAGGAGAACCAACCAGATAATTAATACCAGTGCAGGCTAAAAGTGGCAGCCGGCGTTCAAATGTAAATCCTCGAAAAGGAAGATTACTTGGTTGCAGTTAATGAGTACAAACGTAAAGCCAAACAGGCCAGTCAGGAAAACCAGTCAGGAAAACAAAAAGAGTGCACCATTTGTTTTCTAAGTCAGGTGATAGGGATGTCGGATTATTGACTGTTATTGAATGCTTTTGTAGATGTACTTTAAACAAACACACACACGCGCGCACGCGCACTTTGAGTATTTGCTGTTAACATTATTTACTAAATTAGACACACTAATTAAATCTTAGATTAGTAACTTTCCCCTGCGGGTTTCAGGGTACCGATTGTCTGGGGAAGAAGGAAGGGGGGGGGGGGGGGTTAGGGGGTGGGGCAGATAGGTTCACTGCCTCATAGCAAGCATGCAGTAAAGAGCGACTACTTAAGGAGCTTGCTGTAATCGGATTTATTCTGCCTGCTCCAAACTTCTGAGCAAGCACAGCAGAACCGCCCCCCCCCCCCCCCCCCAACACACAATTTTTCTTAGCAAAACCTGCGAGAAAATACATATTCAGAGTGAAGTTGTATCCAGAATAAACACTGGGGAACTATGGAACTTGCTGCTGATTTGCTGGTTCATGAAGACAGCACAACTGATAACCGACTGACTGACTGACTTTGTACCCAACCAGGACATCACACAAGCGATAAACACCCGATGACACAAAGTACCTCTATGTGGGCGAGGATCACGGTGGAGAGAGGTCCCAGAAACCGCGTTCGGCCTTTAGGCCATATTTATGGCCAGGCTATATTGCGGCCCCTGGCAAAAGCCAGAGTAGGGCTTCAAATAACGAAACATTTCATCCTAAAAAGGACGAGAAGTAAGATACTTATTAAAAAAAACTGATAACCTGAATATTTGAAACCGATGGCGAAGAAGACACAGTAATTACAAGAGTAGACACAAACTTTTTTCGTGAACGTGCCCAGTCATAAGATAAGCCTAGTGATTATTGCACTTTTCCGTTCGTTAGCTTGGATAAATTTATCACACCAACCCCCCCCCCCTCCCCCCCCCCCTGATTTGCTTATTTCCCTACCCACTGCCCTGTCCTGTTTTCTCTTGTATGCTTGATCACTTAATTCCTACTGGGTTGCTACAGTATTTTATTTTTACTCCAGGTTCCGTGCTGGATGTCTGTGTCCATAAGGTCCCCTCCCCAGCTCCCATCATACAAATACAAATCCTGGAAACGTAGTTCTAGCACATAACCATATAGCACCGTTCAATTAGGCCGCATCAAAACGGTTACAAGCAAATCCGTAGTCTCGTGTTGTTGGGTTCGGCGTCCGTTTTTTTATTAACAAATTTTTTTTTTAAAATATCCAGAAACCATGAGTTGTAAACCCTTTGGCTCGGTACTATAGATATCGCAACCATTCGGCCTTGATTCTATTATAGGTACCATTAATCTGGGAGAAATGTGGCTTTACTGCCTACCCCCGGGAATGAACCCGGACAACAAGGAGTTCGTCACCCGGCCGCCGCGAATGTCATGTTTAACCAACTACGCTAGAGAGCCGGGTTCGGCGTCCGTTAAGTGAAGTGTCACTATTCAGATCATCAATGTACAAATGCTAGACTTGTAAGGTTATAACTAGCACCCTGACTGTTACATGTAAAGGTTAGGGTGAGAGGATCCACTTCATTGCACCGGGTTTTATCCAGTATGACCCAGTCTCTATCTGTAAGATAGTTTTCTGCGACTGCTGAGAGCATCGCAGAGAGCAGGACATCCGTAGCTCCGGTGACGATCCTAGAGATCTCTGTAAAAATTGCACTCATGAACTAAACGGTGCCGCCGTGAAACGAACCCACGACCTTCAGGTCGCTAGGCAAACGACTTGACCACTTCGCCACGGAGACCCCCTAATGGTTACAAAAAAACCTGAAGTCCAGACATGGTAGCTCAAGTACCTCGGCCTCCGGTGTCAAGACAACTTCATATACCGCCATGCTCAGGTTCGGAGTCAGCTTCCGACATTTTGGTCTCAAACTGCTTTGTGTTGACTTTGTTTGGTACTGCTTAGAAAACAATGGCTAACTTTATCTCGTTGTTCACACCCTGGGGAGTTACTAGTCATATCTATCCACACTCTTCTCTGGCTTGTGTACCCTCAGTCAGTTCTGATACAGCTGATCTTCAATGCCATGATGTCAAACTGTCCTTCATGTTCTGTCTCCCCCCCCCCTCTCTCTCTCTCTCTCTCTCTCTCTCTCTCTCTCTCTCTCTCTCTCTCTATCTCTCTCTCTCTCTTTCTGAAGCGGACAATCAGTTCTATTCGCGAGTCAGTTTCTCTCACGACATCTTCATATTCTCTATGTCTGTCCTTGAAATTCCCATGATTTGTCTATAAAACCACAAATTTGCAGCTTCCAAAACAATTTTTTTTTTAAACTAATCATTCAACTGTTTTTACTTCCGTATATCAGGATAGGACTTATATAGCTCTTGATCATTCTCTTTCCCGACAAAGAAATATTGCATAGAATATAACAGCAAACTACAGAGTGAAAACACAGTACTGCCACAAATCTGCAGTAAATGTTTGGATTTATTTGCGACATCTTGAAAAAGATCTGCAGGTAACTTTCTCTGCGTATAAGTACCATGTTCTGTTCAGGTAAAGAAGTAATTGTATATTCAATTGGACATACTGCTTATTTATTCCAGATCGGTAACCTGCTGGCATTGGTTGTTCTCCATCGTACCAGGATGGAGTCTCAAAGACTCATGTTCCATAGCCTAGTGGCCGGCCTTGTGTGGAACGATCTCATTGGCATTGTGCTGACGTCACCGGTTACCGTCGCATCCTACATTAACGGCCTACAGGTTAGATATAGTATGAATGTCAATGTGTAGTCGTTCCCGGCGATACTTAGCAAAGTAATGCACTGCTGCATGCGGAAACATTCTTGGACAGAGACGATATCGTTTGCGTTATGAGGAAAAGGCTGGCAAGTCACTAACATTAACACGATTACATGACCTCAAGGTGAAGCGCTAACACGATTGCATGACCTCGAGGTGAAGCCTGGTTACGTTGTATGGTTTAGTCGACAGAATCATCTTTATTGCACCGGGTTTTATCCCATATGACTCAGTCTCTCTCTGCAGAACGAGAGCGCCGCACACAGCATAAACTCTTTAGCTCCGGCAATGATTTGCGTGGATTTCTGTAGAAATTGCACTCATGAACTGAACTGCGTAGCCGTGAAACGAACCCACGTCCTTCAGAGCGAGAGGCAAACGGCTTGACCACTTCGCGAGTGCAATCTTCGAGGTCAAGTTAGGAGATATGTTACTAATTTCTCATGAAAACATTGGAACTCTGAGCTAGCTGTTGAAGATGAGGATTGAGCGCTTATGTGAATGGCCCGTGTGCTGTGAAGTCGGTTCTTGAATCAACTTAACTCAGCTCATGAAAACAACCAGTAGAGATACCTTGGAATGGTTTACTGCATCAGACGACTGACCACGCATAGGAATGTCCAGTGTGCAGTGATGTCGATTTTGATAACGTTGCCTAGCATTAGATTAGGCAAGCAATTTACTTTGTGCTGAACAAAGTTTCCCTCTCCGAGTTTCGCCATTGAAGGAGAAATGAGAAGAAAGCTGCAGCGTCCCAAGAAACATGTCACAAAAAGCGACTAATTATGGGATGTATAAGGGTGACGGCGCAGATGTCGTAGATGACAGGTAAACCAAAACAAAACGTAATATCATTTCCATCCCCCCCCCCCCCCCACCTCCCATTTTTGTCTGTTACGGACAACCATATTAGAAGAAAAAAGAAGACGAAGAAGGATGAGTAGGATGAGGAGGAGAAGAAGAAGGAGAAGAAGGAGGAGAAGAAGAAGAAGAAGAAGAAGAAGAAGAAGAAGAAGAAGAAGAAGAAGAAGAAGAAGAAGAAGAAGAAGAAGAAGAAGAAGAAGAAGAAGAAGAAGAAGAAGAAGAAGAAGAAGAAGAAGAAGAAGAAGAAGAAAAACAAGAAGAAGAACAAGAACAAGAAGAACAAGAAGAACAAGAAGAACAAGAAGAAGAACAACAACAACAACAACAACAATAACAACTATCCCTACTGTCACATTGATATCTTTAGGTACCCAAATAACCTGGTACTTATTTCTCCACAGATGCCAGGGGGAGAGCATTTGTGTCGGTTTAACGGCTTCATCATGATCTGTTTTGGGCTGAGTACGCCCCTGATTGTCAGCGCTATGGCAATAGAACGATTTCTCTTCGTGAAGTACACCTTCTTCTACACCAAGCACTGCGCCCCAGGGGCGGCTCGCTTTGTCATGATTGTTATTTGGGGTTTCGTTCTGTTCTTTGGCCTCCTGCCCATGTTTGGTTTTGGTAACTACGTCCTGCAGTATCCACGAACTTGGTGCTTTCTGGACTTCAGGTGAGAGAGAGAGAGAGAGAGAGAGAGAGAGAGAGAGAGAGAGAGAGAGAGAGAGAGAGAGAGAGAGAGAGAGAGAGAGAGAGAGAGAGAGCTGGGTTGGGGGGGGGGGGGGAAGGAGTGTTGTCTCTGTGGACAAATCGTTAAGACTTGTCTAGTGCTCTGGGAATCCCGTCATAAGTTTCGGACTTTATTGAAGTTATTTTTTGGTGGTCGTCATTAGAGTTGTGTTTTGTGAAATGCTTGGGGTGGGGAGGGGTGTAGAAACAGTGGCTTTACGAGAAATACCGGTACTTTTCTTTTATTACACCATAGGGACATCGAGATTTCGTGGAATGTTCCAGATAAAGTCCAGTATTATAAGGAGGGGTGGGTGTTTTGTTGGGGTTAGGTTTGTTTTGGTTAGTCGCTATTTATTTTACACTTAAACAGCCCGATACTACTAGACTTTACCCCGAACTTCCTATGAAATCTCAGAGGAAATAACGTACCATATGGGATCTGTCCCCGTACATTGAAACCAATATCTTTACAATTCTTAAATGTTGTGCCGACTCCACACTGAAGGGTGGCGGCAGCATACCCACTGTTGTTTTTAAAATTATTACGTGATGAGGTCCCACTCTCTTTCACGGTGTTACTCTCGTACTAATGTCTAACAAGTACGAGAACTTTACTGTTTTTTTTTAAACCGTCCACCACGATAATCGATCCCTAGTACTCCATGGTCACAACATATTTTTGCCACGAAACCACCGTTAGTTAGTAAGCTTCTTCTTCTTCTTCTTCTTCTTCTTCTTCTTCTTCTTTTTCTTCTTCTTCTTCTTCTTCTTCTTTTTCTTCTTCTTCTTCTTTTTCTTCTTCTTTTTAACCCCCAGTAGAGCATAGACCCTTAATAAACTCACTCCATGTCGTTCTATCCTTTGCTGTCACACGTAACTCTTCCCATGTCCTCCCCATCAGGTATATTTTCCTTCTCCATGGTCTTCCTTCATTTCTACGCCCCTGTCGTTTCCAGTGCTAAGGTATTTTAATTATGCTATTCTCAGGTTTTCTCAGCGTGTGTCCTATCCAACGCCGGCGTTGTTTCTTCACCTCTTGGTCCACTGCAACTTGTTTAGTTCTCTCACCCAAAGCTCTAAACTAGTAATTCTATTATAACATTTAATTCTTTCTGTTCTGCGCAGGCAACAGTTAGCTAGTCGAAATAAATCATCAATGCACACGATTCAGTCAAAAAAGCTCTGACCATCTCTTCTCAATGTTTCTCACAGCGTGTAGCGACTGACAACACCAGTTCTGTCTTGGTTCACTGTTCTTCTATGGCTAGCAAGCCGCCGCAATATTGTTGCGGTTAGAAGCGTGGTTACTAACCTAAAAGTCCTGGATTCAAATCCTTAATGAAAAAGACTTTTATAAATGACATGGCTTCCATATCGAACTTGTCTAAAATGGGTATTATGTAATATACTGAGAAGTTAAAGTGACCTGGTTGAAGTTGACCACATTACCCATAGAGAGCGATTGATCCATAAAAGTTCAGGTCTGTCACATTAATTCCGATTGGCCAAAGGCTTTAAAACGTTCTGTTACTTTACCTACTGTGATCCTCCGCAAAACCTTTCTTTTCTTTATCATTTTTGACTTGACGCTCTTGTTAGTTTGCAGTCACCGACTGTTTCATCTAACTGCCCTGTCTGTGGGGAGACCTTTAGTATGGCACTCATATTTATTGCTACTTTTTATTTTTTACTTTGCAGGCTAATGAGTTTGTTGGTTACCTTTATTACCCCTGGCCCTAAACTGAAGTCTATTTTTCAAACAAAATCACGCCTGGACGAAATGACAGAAGTAATAAAAAGAAACACGAGTGAAATCCTAAGAAGAGGTGTGCGGTCTAAAAACTTACTTTTATGGCAGGGTAGATCCTACTGTTAGCCACTATCGCAGCTGGTTTTAAGAGCGAAACTTCAGACGACGCATACAACGGAACACTGCTCTTTTGATCTGGCAGCTTCTGCACCATGCTCTGTTTAGAATTTTGGTGTTACAGTTCCTTTAGAGTAAACAAACAAAACACAACAGAGATTGTTCTACATTTTCAACATTTGATCTTTATAATACTGCCCAGGTTTTTTGTTATGCAGAAAAAGAACGTCATTAGTGGCTTTAATTTGAAGTGATTTTCGTGCCTCTCTATAGCACAACTTAACACTTTCGTCTGGAAAGATTGACAGGTGCCAACAGTTAGTTAGGGTCGGTGTTTTCCTTCAGAACGATATCAGGGAAGTGAAATCTTTCGGCAACATTACAATGCATGCATTTTTTTCAAACTATAATTGATGGAAAAGTCTATGTCCGACGAGTACATGATAGCGATATAATTAGGAAGGCAGCATTACGAAATGGGCGGACAGCATTACGAGATGGGCGGACAGCAGTGTGTTGGGATGTACAACCAGGCCAGAACAAAGAGAATATTGGTTATCCATTACAGTTAGCCTTTATATTGGAGATATGGTCTGATTTCCTTATTAAATCTCTCACAAAAACACAAAAACAGAAAGAGTTAAATGTTAATTTCCTGTCCCCTTTGGGTGCCAAATACATCGATGCAATAGATCACAAAGTTTGGCTAATAATATTGATTAATCACTGACCACGGTTTATTCCCTGCAGTCTGTGTTGCCCCATTTTCCTGCTGTGCAACACAACAAATTTCAAAAACAACCTCGTGTTATTGGAACGCAGAAAAACATGGTGAAAAGCATGCAGAGAACATAAATGGCATGACATAAACCAGATCATAGGCCTCCCTGCAGCTGTTTCCGGGGAAATGCAGCCTCAAGGGATATGACCCTCCATCAGCGCTCTTTCTGATGATAATCAGGTGGCGCAGGCTATAGGAAGAGGAGACATGATAGCGTGGAAAACAGGAACAGGGACGCCATTTTGGGCATATGTTAAAGGAAAGGATATCTCTATGGAAATATGTAGGATCGCTTGACTCGCGCTCTTTGCATATGTGGATTCGGTTTAGGGCTCAGTCTTTCATTTGCAGATAATAAAATACAATCTTCCTCTCTCTTCTTCACTTTCTCTTTTACCGTTTCGAGTGTTGAGAGACATATAAGGTTCTTCTTCTTGCTCTGCTGGTTCCTTCGACCACAGACACATGTTTTTGTTGTAGAGTTTTTCAATCATCATTTGCTTGGGCCAGTAGAGAAGAGTAATCATGGTTGACCATAGGTACCAGAGCTTGAGGGTGTAACTGCCATGTAGCCCCCCCGCACCCCTTCTTTATTTAGTCCTTCCTCTTGAAGCTAGGGCGGCGCGTAGGACAGAGTTCATAACTCTCCAAGTCTGGCGGTTCGATGTCACCTACTTTAGGTCTTGGATGTTCATTAGGACCATTGCTGAGCCTTCCTTGAAGATGGTTCTACCCAGGGTCTCTCTTGGTCTTCCCCGTTTTCTGTTTCATTGCGGTGCCCACATGAGGGTTTGATAGTGGTGTTTGGTCTTATTAATTCATGGCCTATGTAGTTCCAGCGGCGCTTTCTTAGAAAACTGAATAAATTATCTTGCTTGGTCTCATGTCTTATTTGCGTATTAGATATGAAATCTGTACAGTGGAGATTTAATATTCTTCTATGACATCTGTTCTCATAATTGTCTAATTTTCCATCTACCACTGGAATCACACAAGAGTTGAAGATCTTGAGGTTTGTCTGTTTGCTAAATGTCTTTGACTTCTAGACGTTTGACAGTTTGTTGAAAGCACAAGATGCCAAAGTTATTCTAAATGATTTTTCTGGCGCTGAATCGCTCGTGTTTGTCCTCTTACTTCCTAGGTATGTAAAGCTGTTGACATTCTCCAAGAATATAATTGTTTAGTTTGATGCTGTCTGACCTGTTAGAAAGATCAATAATTGTTTGTTTTTGCCGTGTTAATCTGGAGACCAATTTGTCCTTAAATTTTTGGGAGATGGTCTGTTTTTGCCTGGATATCTGGATTAGTTGAACTCAAAAGGTACTATGTTATCTGCAAAGTCAAGGTGTTCTAGAATGTTGTCAAACCCTTTGATACCCATATTCACCCTCCCTTACCTTCAGCTGATTTGGTAATGATCAGCATCCAGCCCTTTTTCATCCGATTATGTATAGATGTTAACTTTTAAAGAGCTTAATCAGACATTTTGTATTATATATATATATATATATATATATATATATATATATATATATATATATATATATATATATATATATATACCAACCCGTAGCATATACTTTAAATAATGACTATTATGCTATTATTATGGTACAGTTAAACAAGGGTTACGCATCTTGAGCCCAGCCAATTAGAAAGTGATATGGGAGCCGTCCCACATGTTTTCTTCGTGGCGGCGTGCCTGCGATTGACTGACTGTTTAGGCTTACTGCACTTCAATCAAGTTAACATCAATTATCGTCTATATATTTCTCATAAACCTCTAACTTGGTTATGGGTGTTTTAACTCGCAGGCACCGTGGCAGTTTCTCGTGGATCCCATTACAGCCGATGACAAATCTTTAGTGCAAGACAGCCTAGCATACGACATAACAACATCTAGCATGAGAATGGAGGTGGAGGCGGTAACTGCAGCTCTACGGTGACTAGAGAACAAGATGCATTCACATGTCGTAATTGTAACAGACTCTGAAAGCATGCTGAGAAAGTTGAAGACAGGGATGCTTCGAGCAGAGTGGCAAGCTTCACTGGGAAGGAATCGGGTAGTGAGCACACTTTGGATCCTTTCTTCAGGATATGCCGGCGTAGTGGGTAATGAACAGGCAGACCGACTGGCTATATCTGCACCACTTGGTGGTGAATTTATACATGACAAGACAGATGTGGTCAAGGCCCTCTGGGAACAAGCAACAGAATCAGTAGAGAAACAAGATTTTTATGGTCTGGAGAGAATGAGGCACCTGGGTGTAACCAGATTTTATATAAGGTGCATATAAATACAATTTTCGTTTTATATATTGATAATAAAATGTTTTATGTGAGTGGTTGCGAAGGCGGAACTCTTATGAATACTTTGACAGTTACTAGTAACTCTTTCAGTCCGAAAGATTTGTTACTTTAACTCCTATTCCAAAGGGTTGGGATAAAAAATACATACGTAACAAAATTCATTAGCAGTTGGAAATCGAAAAGAATAGCCTAACGACGCTTCACCGGTGAAATTTGGAGTTAAAAATCTACGCAAAGTATTTTCAGGATCCTCACCGGTGCTACGAAGTTCGTACACCGCGCTCGTCAGACTCAGGCTTGAGTTAGATGTAGAACGGGCACTTATGGGTTACTACCCCTGTGCCATGATGTTGATCAGTTGTTTAAACCTAAACCTAAATTAATAATTCCCATACAAAGGAACGTTATGCGAACGGTCTGTAACAAGAAACAACAATGATATTATGTTATCTTCGAGACGATCAAGAAACGTATGGTCAGATGGTAAGTACTGAAAGAGTTAAGCCGGCTGTGAACATGTCTTGCTTGAATGAGGAATTCACTTCAAGATACTCTAACTCTCCAGGATGAGTTGAGAACTCACTTCATGATACTCTAACTCTTCAGTATGAGTTATTAATTTACTTCATGATACTCTAACTCTACAGGATAAGTTAATAATTCACTTCGTAATACTCTAAATCTCCAGGATGAGTTTTAAGAATTGACTTCATGATATTCTAACTCTCCAGGATAAGCTAATAATTCACTTCATGATACTCTAACTCTCCGGGATGAGTTAATAATTCACTTCATGATACTCTAACTCTTCAGGACGACCAACCCGGTGCACGCAGCTTACGGATACATGTATTCTGGGCTGAACCTACTGCTGGTTATAGTAATGGTGGTTTGTAACCTGGTGGTTGTGGTGACGTTGGCACGCGTCAGAGATTACCGGAGGAAGTACAGCTCTAGCAGCCTCAACAGTGTCTTGATCGGAGACGGCGTCATGGATGATAGCCAGCGGCAGCAGGTGAGACTAACTACTATGTTGTGTCGCCTAGTTTTGTTATTGGTATGTAAGTACATGTTTCCAAGCTTGAATGCCGTCTGGCTGGCCGGTGGACGACTTCGTCGTCGTTCGGGACAGTGTTTGGGTCTGTCTTTTTTCATCGCGTCAAAACTGCTTGAGTCCTTTTGAGGGCTATTTGGTGGCGATGAGTGCGAAGCCATTTAATATGGCGCACGTTAACCTAGTCACAATCATAACAAATAGTTTCTTTCTCAGGTGGGGGGGGGGGGGGGGATTTTGGCTAAACGTGACGATTTTTTTTTTCGCAGAACAAGTCAAGTCAAGCTTGAAAGCCTAATGCCATATGGTGTTAGCCAGACGTTTGCATAGACTTAATGCTTAATGCCATATGGTATTAGCCAGGCGTTTGTATAGACTAAATGCCTAATGCCATATGGTATAAGCCAGACGTTTGCATAGACTAAATGTCTAATGCCATATGGTATAAGCCAGACGTTTGCATAGACTAAATGCCTAATGCCATATGGTATAAGCCAGGCGTTTGCATAGACTAAATGTCTAATGCCATATGGTGTTAGCCAGACGTTTGCATAGACTAAATGCCTAATGCCATATGGTATAAGCTAGGCGTTTGTATAGACTAAATGCATAATGCCATGTGGTGTTAGCCAGACGTTTGCATAGACTAAATGCCTAATGCCATATGGTGTTAGCCAGACGTTTGTATAGATTAAATTGCCTAATGCCATATGGTATTAGCCAGGCGTTTGCATAGACTAAATGCCTAATGCCATATGGTGTTAGCCAGACGTTTGAATAGACTAAATGCCTAATGCCTTATGGTGTTAGCCAGACGTTTGTATAGATTAAATTGCCTAATGCCATATGGTATTAGCCAGGCGTTTGCATAGACTAAATGACTAATGCCATTTGGTATTAGCCAGGCGTTTGTATAGACTAAATGCCTAATGCCATACGGTATTAGCCAGACGTTTGCATAGACTAAATGCCTAATGCCATATGGTGTTAGCCAGACGTTTGTATAGACTAAATGCCTAATGCCATATGGTATAAGCCAGGCGTTTGCATTGACTTAATGCCTAGTGCCATATGGTGTTAGCCAGATGTTTGTATAGACTAAATGCCTAATGCCATTTGGTGTTAGCCAGACGTTTGTATAGATTAAATTGCCTAATGCCATATGGTGTTAGCTAGACGTTTGCATAGACTAAACGCCTAATGTCATATGGTGTTAGCCAGGCGTTTGTATAGATTAAATGCCTAATGCCATATGGTATAAGCCAGGCGTTTGTACAGACTAAATGACTAATGCCATAGAATGTTAGCCAGACGTTTGTATAGACTAAATGCCTAATGTCATACGGTGTTAGCCAGACGTTTGTATAGACTAAATGCTTAATGCCATATGGTGTTAGCCAGACGTTTGTATAGACTAAATGCCTTGTGTCATATTTTGTTAGTCTGGCGTTTGTATAAACTAAATGCCCAATGTCATATGGTGTTAGCCAGACGTTTTTATAGACTAAATGCCTAATGTAATATGGTGTTAGCCAGACCTTTGTATAGACTAAATGCCTAATGTCATATGGTGTTAGCCAGACGTTTGAATAGACTAAATGCCTAATGTCATATGGTGTTAGCCAGACGTTTTTATAGACTAAATGCCTAATGTCATATGGTGTTAGCCAGGCGTTTGTATAAACTAAATGCCCAATATCATATGGTGTTAGCCAGACGTTTTTATAGACTAAATGCCTAATGTCATATGGTGTTAGCCAGGCGTTTGTATAAACTAAATGCCTAATGTCATATGGTGTTAGCCAGTCTTTGTTTTTGTTTTTGTTTAGACTAATCGGCATACAGTAGATGGTGGGGTAATGAAAAGCACTAATGTTGATAACAAATGTGATGATGAGGATAAAGTGTTTGTTGCTGATGATGATAATGCCTTTGATGATGATGAAAAGGAAGAGGAAGAAACTGGGGAGAGAGAAGAGGACAAGAAGGCAAAAGAAACAGCCCCATTAAAATGTGACGTTGGTTAAAAAAAATAAGAGGGGGTAAAGAAGGAGGATGAGATAAAGAAGAAGAAGAAGAAGAAAAAGAAGAAGAAGAAGAAGAAGAGGAAGAAGAAGAAGAAGAAGAAGAAGAAGAAGAAGAAGAAGAAGAAGAAGAAGAAGAAGAAGAAGAAGAAGAAGAAGAAGAAGAAGAAGAAGAAGAAGAAGAAGAAGAAGAAGAAGAAGAAGAAGAAGAAGAAGAAGAAGAAGAAGAAGAAGAAGAAGAAGAAGAAGAAGAAGAAGAAGAAGAAGAAGAAGAATTACTAGTAGCAACAGAAGCAGCAGCAGGAGAAGAAGAAACAGCAAATATGATCACGAACAATAAGAACAAGATGAACAAGAAGGTGGGAAACTAGAGAGTGAACATCCTCATCAATAATTGCCACTTCTACCTTTAAGCGTTGTGGGGAGAAACAGTTTGCAATCCTCTGATGGACAGCAATGGCTATCGCCATTCCGTGTCGATGTAGAAGCTCTTTAATGTCATCAATCAATTTTTTTCCTAAGAAGGTGGACTCTTGATTAATCTCTTTCTCTTTTCATGTGTAGCGCCAAACCATTTGATCATTTGTTTCTCAATAAATTTACTGCATGGTGCTGTTATTACAGTCTTATTCATATAATTTCTAACTTTTTCTAGGATAGCTTAGTTGGCGGCTTTTCTCAGGCATCTCATTTCATATTGTTTAATTTTACATAGGTTAACCTTTAATAAAGTCCAAGTCTGGCACTGGGAGCCCAGTCTTTGTATGAATAGTGTGTTTATTATCTGTTTCTTGGCGCTCATTCTTAATTGTTAGCAGTCTGAATAACAGTCTCAGCTGGTACATAAGTGCATCGGCTCGTTGACATCTTTCGTCTATTTCACGATCTATCATCCCGTCCTTCGAGAATAGGCTTCCTGGAAATTTAAATTCTTTAACTTGTTTCAGACAAGTACCATTTAACCCGATGTCTAGCAGACAAGGAATTCCACTAATCTGCATTACTTCAGTGATAATAATATTTATTTTCATGTGATAACTTCTGCATGTTGAACTTAGTCCGTTTCAATATAAACGAACATAGTCTCAAAATCTCGATCCTACATTTATATTGCATCTTTTCTGTACCCCCACTCAAAGCCCAGGTCGTTTCTTCCCTCTCTCTAGCTAGATATTAACTTCTAGAATATCACACAGTCAGTCTACAAAACTTCACACGCACTTACTCGTTTGACAAGGGCTTAAAGAATTACTGTGTTCTTCCTATGTGCTTGATTTGGTTATAATTGCCCACACAACTCCCCTTTTAGATTCTGTAATTGAATTCTTGGCAAAACATCTTCCTGTTTATTTTGATTTCATTCAAGGGAGAATGAAAAGGAGGTTACGTGTAGGATTGGCATGTTTGCTTTTGCTTTGCTCCTAATGCTGTTGCTTTGATGATTGTGTAGTGTAAACAGGTAAGTGCTTTTGTTGGGTTCTTTGACACCTTCAGTCTTAAGCAGTGATCCATGTGTGATCTGCTGTTGTCTATATGTAGCACGTAGAGCTCCACTTTCAGCAGGTCACACTCCATTTGAGGCCAGCCATTGTCTACCAAGTGTGTACATAGTGTGTCTACCGTTTGGCCGCGTGTAACAAGCAACTTTCAGTGTTGAATGTTGACAATTGAGTTAAGAATCGACATCACAACATTTTGGGACACTGCCATAGGCGCTCCGTCCTCATCTTCAGCAGCAAGCGAAGAGTTCCAATTTCTATGGCACCAGTAACTTATTGTATATCCGTCTCGCCTTTTCATTGAGTGTTGAGCGTTGGTCTGATCCCCTGGTAACTCCTCACAGCGATATTCTTCTCAGACCGTAATGATCTGTTTGTAACTCCGAATTTTTCAATCGCTCTCAAAGGACCCTCACAACATATAGCTTGTCATACATCAATTAAACACCAAATTGATCAGAACCGGGCAGTCTATATGCCTACTCGTTTCCCAACACACTGGCATAACCTGGAAACAATCTAAAGGACGCTAACTACACAGGACCTCTGGAACGATGCTTGCCACTTTGCGCGGAAAATGCCTGTCTCCACCTTTCTCAGCATGCTCTGTGATTCAGTACAATTACGACATGTGTGTACAGCTGATTCTCAAGCCAGAGGAAGAAGTGATCGCCTCCACCTCTATTTTCAAACTAGACGTTGTGATATCATATGCCAGGCTTTGTGAATTAGCCACGTCCATTCGTTGTTTTTGAGGAACCATCACGCACTTCTTCTGCCTCTCAACACAGAACCATCTGTAAAGATAATCGCACCACCTGGACAGTGTCATGAATCATTTGTTGAACTTCTGATTCTGCAGTCTGGCTAGCCAGTCCCTGCACTCGCGACCTAAAGTGATTAGAACCCTACACAAGTCTGATTTGAGCTCGGACACTTTGACCCACTGCTCTCCACGCCCAAATTTATCAAGGCGGCACGCATGTCTAATTATGTCTTCAGCTTGAGCCATCCAAGATCTTCCTCTTTTCAGTCTGTGACCATTAGACCTACGTAGGGCTTTTTCCAGTAGTTGCTTCTTGCCTGCAACTACTCTGAGATATGACTTTGCTTGCAGATTTTTGAGCCTATCTGCAATAGTAGGCAGTGCAAGTATATATCGCAAACACACTAGCGGTGTACCTTTTCTACATCCCAAAATTACCCCCATAGTTTCATTCTGTATGCGTTCAAGTTTCATCAGCTGACTCTTTGATATAGTAAGCATTCCAAGTCCATAATCTATTACTGACAGGATCACATATTGAAACATAAAGAACAATATGCTTTGTTTCCCGTCCATTGCTGCCATTATCCTGAGAGCATTAAGTCCTTTTTGGCATTTTTACCGCAGCTGCACCCACGTGATCCCTGAAGGTCAGGCTTCTATCGAAAGATA